CTCAGTAGTGAATTTGAATATAACTTTTCTTTTTTAAGGTTCTACTAATCCCATAAGTAATGTCCTTTTGAAATTATTTATAATTTATGCCTTCTGCAAAAGTTACTCTGGTTCACAGATCTATGGATTTGGAAAAATATGTATTCACATGTCTTTAGTGCATGCAGATTGCTTCTGTCACATTAGTTATTACTCTTAGGTACTGGGGTTTGGATTCTTTTTTTTCTTTTTTCCTTAGAATTACAAAGAATATTGTTTGTAAAATTGTCAATCCCAGTTCCCACTCCCTCCTCTGCCACCACCATCACCACCACACACATACACCCCATTTGGATTCTTAAGAATGCCAACTGGCATATAAATTTAAAGTTGGTGCTTTTCTTTTTCTGCTTTTGATATCTAAATGTAATGATTACACAGTGCTGCCTTCAACCCTTGATATTCTTTTTTCCGCCTCATCTGGTCCAGTGATTTTTTTTTTTTTTAATTTATTGAGTGTCTTCGTTAGGGCTTTTTATTGCTGTAATAAATTACCATGACCAAAAGTATCTGTGAGAGAAAAGGGATTGTTTCAGCAGTTACCTGGGTTTTTTGGGGGGGAGGAGGGTTGGGTTTTATTTGGTATTTATTTGATTACTTTTTAGTGTTTTGGTTCTTGGGGTCATTGAGGATAGATAGGTTAGTGAATAGAAGCCGAATTTGAAGCAAAGACCGTGGAGGAATGTGTGGCCTCCTTAGTTTCCAGTCAGGACCACCATCCCATTTAGGATTGAGTGTTCTAAAATTTCTTTCTATATATTAGTCAGTCTCTGTATTAGTTCTCATATTCTGCAATTAAAGTTTCTGTGATGAAGGTTGGGTGTGTTGGTTGCTATAGGTATAGCAAATTGTCATTAGGAGTCATTTTATTACTATACTTAACAGAATAATAGGTTTTCTCCTAGGACCCATGACCTATCTGCTCTTATTATCTTATCCATATTAACAGTGTCAGGTATGGGTTCCATCTCACGGAGTTGGGCTGCCTACCTGGTTAGTACTTACATGGAAGACTCATCTTTTTCCTAGTAGATAATGATGTGTCTTTGTTCACTTATGGTATTGCTGATTTGTTTTCTTTTTTCTTCATTGGTCTGCTGAGTGTTTTATTCTTACTAATGCTTATAGAAAACTAACTTGGCTTTCTTCACTTTTCCAGTTTTTCTGCTATCACTTTCTTTGATTTCTAAGGTTATTTTGTAGATCAGTCTTGTAGTATATATTATTATATTAAAAACCACAAGCTAAATATGGGTTTTTTTTTTCCAACCTTTTCTGCTCACTTTCAAAAATAATAGCCATAGAAACTGATCATTTCTACTTGGTGCCACGGATGTCTTGAACCTGATCTGGAAATATTTAGCTTGCATAAGAATAATTCTTTGTTTTTTGTCCTGGAAATCACTTTGGACAGGCTGGCCAGGAACTCACAGAGATCCTCCTACCTCTGATGGGATAAACGTATGTGTCACCACTTCCCCAAAAAAATGACTCTACATTCACTAAAAGTAGCTATTGGTAGTCTCACACAGGATCTGCTTGTCAAGTAGTCTGTGAAATGCTTAAGAGCCAGAATTACTTTGAGTTATCCTTTAGCTTTAAGGTTGAATAAATAACAAATAAATAAGGGCTAATGGCTCAGGAGTTCTTATTGTGTAGGACTTTTTGTTTTATTTTGTTTTGTGTTTCAAGACAGGGTCTCTCTGTGTATCCCTGGACTTCCTCTGTCAAGCAGTGAATCACCATACCCAAATAATATCTTGCTTATTATTATTGGGTATCATTTTTACTTAGGGATAGAAAAGGAAATCTGTACAACACTGCATCCATCCTTAGGGTTAAAGAGCTGAAGCATTCATTTTATCTTTACTTGGAATAAAGAGAAGAGTCACATCTCCCCAGCTTTAGGTCTTTTGGAGGGAGATATAAAATTGTCCTGGAGTTGGCTATCACACCTGAGTTAACCCCAATCTATTCTGCTCCAAAATCCAAAGATTAATAGAGATTAATGCACTGCAGAAAGAATAAATACTTCAGCTTGTAAGTAATGACCTTTCTGCTGGACATATCACCAGAAAAGCTGATGTGCTAGGTGTCTTCCCAGAATCAGTTTCTTTGCCATCACAACAGGAAGAAACCTGTGAAGTGCCTCAGAGCATAGTCCTCATTAAGCAACATCACTTAAGTTTACCCTTGGGTGGGTGTGAAATGAGGATTCAGTCTTGGAAATCCATCTCTGACTGTTCAGGGACAGGGAGAATTTGATGTTCCAAATCCTGGGTTTACTCTTTTTTTGTGTGTACAGTCTGGTTTTCAGGCAGAAGGGATTATTTCCTCCAGTAGGTTTTCAGGAATCTGTAGCTATCATGGCTGCCAGATCCACTTGAACTGGCCCCTAATTAGTGACTGTCAGCTATACCAAATTCATCATCAAGAATGTATCTGCAGAAACCTGGCCAAGGACTTCATGGCTGAAGCCTGATAAAGAGCCTGGTATGGTGCTCTATCTTAAGTCCTTGAGTGCAGGCTGGGTTATCCAGGACATTACTACCAGGGAGGCCACAATTGTTGTTGCCCAATGTATTCTTCATATAGTGTACATGACCTAAGAGTGGGTATGTACCTCAGTGGTGGAGTGTTACCTGCCATTTTTTTTCCATCTCCACCACTTAAGTAAAGAGATGGACATCTATCTGTTCACATCCAACCTGGTCGATGATTGCCAGTGTATGGCTTATCTGGGTCTTCCCATTTAGGATTCTCCAAACATCTCTGATATATATATCCGCTCTCAATTTTACCTCAAAGTACTTTTTAAAGCTCCTTGGAGCCAGTCATAATCTATATGATCTGATTCCCTTGGGTAGATTTCATTGTAGTGACAGTCCATTGGTGCTAATTAGGCTGTCTCAGCAAGAATTTTGCTTTAAGAATTTTTTTAAGCCAGGTAGTGGTGTCCACACCTTTAGTTCCAGCACTCGGGAGGCAGAGGTATGTGGGTCTCTGAGAGTTTCCAGGCCAGTTTGGTCTACATAGTGAGTTCTAAGACAACAAGAGCTGTTTCACAGAGAAACCTAGTCTCAAAAGTAAAAAAAAAAAAAACAAAAAAAAAACCAACAAGGAAGAAAAGAAAAAATTTCCCCTAATCAGCTGTTTTTTGACATACAGACAATAGCCTCCGCAATATGGAATCCAATTTCTTCTAGGTTCTTTACACTATAAACATTCTTCTAATTGTAGGCCATAGCTGTTCACTTACACAGAAGTATTGCTTCAAGCTACATCTGCACAGCTATAACTTAGTTCTTTTTCACACACCCTCTGCTTCCAACCTCTGTGCAACCACAGATACACACCTATACACTCCTTGGAGCACATGTGTATATGCATAAAGTCTTTGGACAGTATTTCATGTATCCCATGCAAGCCTTGAACTTCTGGTCCTACTGTCTCCACTTCTCTAGTGCTAGGGTTACTGTCATGTCACCATAGCCACTTTATTCAGTGCTGGGGAGCAGGTGCATGGCTTCACTTGCTCTAGGCGAGCAAGTCTGTCTCCATGAGGTGTACAGTTTATTTCAGCTCCCTTTTTGATGTCAGTGTTTATTGCTGGAAGTTTCCCTTTTAGAATTGTTTTTCCTTCATTTCAAAGGCTGTGATATGTTGTATTTACATTTTCATTTGTCTCCAGGTAGTTTTAACCTCCATTTGCATTTCTTCTGTGACCCACTGATTGTTCAGGAATATGTTGTGTCATTTCCATGTATTTGATTTTTCCAAAGTTCATCCTGTCATGATTTCTAAAATAATTTCAGAGGTAATTATTTGAAATTATTTCAGTCTTCCTAAATGTTGAGACTATGGCCTTGCATATGATCGGTTCTCTAGCATTTTCTGTATGTGCTTGAGAAAGTATGTATGCTTTTAGTGGTTGAATGGTCTGCATGTTTTTGTCTCATTTGCACTAGCATTGTTCTGTATTTCCTTGCGAATTTTCTGCCTGTGCCCTATCCGATGTTGAAGGCAACACGGCTACTCTTTCGCTTCCATGTATACTTGCTTTGTATGCTTATATCTTCTTGGGAGCACATGTGTTTCCAGTATCTTCCTAATGGTCTTAGTTGCCTCTTGTGATTATACCTCACATCTATCCAACAATACCATGAGCACCTCTGCTTGCTTTTATTACCCTTATACCAGGGATCTTTTTCCATCCCCTCATCTTTCCACATCGGTATGTCCTCAAAATAGTTGTATTTAATATAGTTATTTTAATAAAAGTTTTCATTGCCCTTTCATTTTTATTGGTGTAACCTATAATTCATTTGTTCCTCTTTTTCTTGCTTACTGTTTTATTGATTGTGTGTGGTGTCTGGTGTTTTGGGGGAGAGATCCTCACTATATACCCCAGGCTGGTTTGAAACTCACTATGTAGCTCAGCTGACCTTGAACTTCCAGCAGTCCTCCTGTCTGAGGCACTCAAGTGCTGAGATTACAGATATGAGCCACCTTGCCAGTTTGTTAATTCTGTGGCACTGCTATTCTTTGATTATGGCCTTTCCTCCTTCCATAAGTTTTTTTTGGTTTTTTCTTGTTTTTTGGTTTTTTGGGGTTTTTTTTTTTTTTTTTTGGTTTTTTGAGACAGGGTTTCTCTGTGTAGCTTTGGAGCCTATCCTGGCACTCGCTCTGGAGACCAGGCTGGCCTTGAACTCACAGAGATCCGCCTGCCTCTGCCTCCCGAGTGCTAGGATTAATGGGGTGCGGCAACAATGCCCAGCTCCATAAGTATTTTTATCATTACCCTTACTCATATTAAGCATATTATATCTCCCGGTTAGTAGCTAATATGAACTTAATTCCACCCATATCTAAATACTGTATATCATTTATGTAATTTATCTTTCATATTCTATAG